AGCAGCAGGGACTAAAACCTGGCGCCCATATGGGATGCCGGCGCCACAGGAGGAGGATTAACCTAGTGCACCACAAGCCAGGCCCTATCCCATTGATTTATGCGTTTATTTTCAACCCAGTAGTAGTAGCTTTGCGGACAGCAGCTTTGTACTAAGTGCAGAAATTGGGAAACTGGGGTCCCCCGACTTCATTTTTTTTTTTACTAAATTGTTTTTCATAGCAGGTTTACAAAGAAATACTTAGTAAGTGGATGAATGAATTTTTCAAGATTTCATTTATTTGGAAGGAAGGCTAAGACGCTGGGGATTTTATTTTTAGAGACATTTTGCTAGGAGATGTTGACATTTAGGTGTAAACTGCTTAAGAAAAAATAACGCCAGGATTTGTCCTGTTTCACAAAGATGTCTCATTTCAGAAAGACGCCTGGTGGTCAGGTTCCTGTTGCCCGGCTGCAGGACAGATCTGCCTGTGATTCTCCATAACTGGCCTCAAGCCGACAGCACGGCTGGCGATCAATGAACACTCCTGACTCGGCCTTTCTGTTTTAAGCTATCGCTTCTCTCCCTGCCCTCCTCTGCCTGTCACTGACATCTCCCATTTCTCTAGCTTAGTCAATAACCAACTTCAGCTTAGGATCGTGTTTTCCTAAACTCCTACCGATTTTCCGCACAGCACCAAATATGCTGGGTGGTATACCAGATGGTACTCCAGAGTGATCATTGGGATTTTTTTTTTCCAGCTTGAGTGGATATGTTTACAGTTTCTCTCTAAACATAACATAAGATCCCATTTTCTTGCAGAGTTTTTTTTTTTTTAAGTTGCAACATTTTTAAATGTCTTCCCATGTTTGTAATACACAGTTTCTAGCAAAAGCTTCAATAGTGATTCTATGCTAAGTTTTGGAACCTTTCTTCTGAAGAGCTCACTGTTAAGTCATGTAAATTATCCAGAAAAAAAACCTCTCATAACCTGACATTTTGTAACTCCACAATCTTCCTAATCGTGTGGCAATGTCATTAATTTTAATCAAATAATTACAGATGATTACGTGAACTCCTCCTCCCCCTTCCCCTGGCTTCAGAGTTGCTGGTTTTACCTTCTTTATTGCTGACACACAGTGGGCACCGACCCACACTTCCTGTGGGGCAGCTCACCCTTCCCCTCTGGAGCAGGACGCCTCTCAGCTGGGGCAGTAAGGAGACGGCCGCAGGAGCCAGCTTTCCCTTCCTGGGCTCCCTTCTGCCGTCCCTTGAAAGGCCTGGCCTTTCTTGTCCAAGGGCAGAAACCAGCCTCTGTTTACAAGCCCGACCTTCATTCCTTCTTCGAAGACAGCCCGGAGAAGCACCTCCTCCAGGAAGGCTTCCCAGCTTGAGAGAGAGAATACATGCTAATTCCCATGGTGAATATGCAGTCTTTTAAAGATTTCTTTATTTGAAAGGCAGAGTTACAGAGACAGGGAGAGAGAGAGAGAGAGGTCTTCCATCTGCTGGTTCACTCCCCAGATGGCTGCAACGGCAGGAGCTGGGCCCATCTGAAGCCAGGAGCTTCCTCCGGGTCTCCCATGTGGGTACAAGGGCCCAAGGACTTGGGCCGTCTTCCACTGCTTTCCTAGACGTGTTAGCAGGGATTGGAAGTGCAGTAGCCAAGACTCACACTGGCGCCCACCCGGGGCGCCGGCTTTCTCTGCTACTCCACAGCAGTGGCTTTAGCCAAGGGCTTCCCAGGTGAGCAGGATGGAAAGAATGCCATCAGCAAAGCACTGGCCCAGAACAAAGCGTAGTCTTGGCAGCTGCTCCGACAACGAGGATACGGCAGGTGCATCTGGTATACCAAAGGTAGCCCATCCTCTGGGTGCCTGCTGCTATCCTTTTCCCTTGTGTTTACCCCAACCAGTTAAAACACATTTTTGCTTTAGGATCTGAATTTTAAGATTGTCCTGGGGCTGGTGCTGTGGCATAGTGGGTAAAGCTGCCACCTGCAGTGTTGGTAAAATTGTGATTGACCCCCTAAAATATATCAGAATATGGCCCCCTAAAGTCTCACCTGGGGTACCATATGAAACTGAAACTTGGGGTGCCATACGATATCACCTGTGCTTATTAATAAGTTCCCAATATTAATAAGCCCGTGTGGGTTCTTGACTTATATTTAGAGAAGAATTCTGAATACCAGCATATTCAGTGTGAAAGATGCACAGGGGGTGAGGCCCTGTCTAAAGGAGAGAGGGAACTCTGGGTTCATACGAGTGCCAGGAACCAGCCACGTGGAGGAGCATCCAGGCCAGGAAGCGTGGGGCGGGTGGCCCGAAGGCCATGTGCTCTGAGGCGCAGGGCTGCAGCAAGCCCACACTGGCAGGAGGCCAAGGAAAGGAAGAGGTGGACACACTGTGTCCCAGACTTTTAATCCACTTCCCAAGAGAAGTGGTTAATGAACCCGATTGGCCGGTGGGCGCTGAGGTGTAGCCAGCTAGGGGCATGAGGTCACACAGGGGCGTGGCGAAGGCGTGGTCTTCCAGCTCACAAACCTGATCAATTTTAACCTGTATGCCTGCCTACATCAGTGGCATCCCATGTGGGTGCTGGTTCCAGTCCCAGCTGCTCCACTTCCGATCCAGCTCTCTGCTACGGCCTTGGAAAGCAGTAGAAGATGGCCCAAGTGCTTGGGCCCCTGCACCCGCGTGGGAGACCCAGAGGAAGCTTCTGGCTCCTATCCTCGGATCAGCGCAGCTCTGGCTATTGCGGCCATCTGGGGAGTGAACCAGCGGATGGAAGACCTCTCTCTCTCCTCTCTTTGTAACTTTCTGACTTTCAAATAAATAAATCTTAAAAAATTTTTTTTTGCCTTCTCTCCCTTCAGGCACACAATGGGTACTTGGTTAGCAGCATTTGAGGACTGTCTTGTGGCTGAGTCTGTTTCACAGTGCCAGCTACTCCAAGGCTAAGGTCAGAGGTCAAGGTGGGACACGCCCACCAGCCATCCATCGAACCAGGGACACCATCTAAGTAACATCCCATGTCCAGCTGGCCGCAGGGTGGTCCCCAGAATCGGGCAGGATGATAAAGACACGGGCAGGTGGACAGCCAGGGAACGAGGAGCCGAAATCGCTGCACCTGCATGCCCAAACCCATCCCCCACTGGGCGGCGCAACAGGTCTCCCAGCTCACCACACCTGATGCAGGCAGGCACACAGGATAAAACTGATGAGGTCTGTGAGCTGGAAGACCACGCCTTCGCCACGCCCCTGGGTGACCCCACACCCTACCGGGCCACACCTGAGCACCCACCGGCCAATCAGGCTCATTAACCACTCCCCTTTGAAAGTGGACTAAGAGCCTGGGACAAGGTGTACCGGCCTTTTTCTTCCCTTTCTGGCCTTTTGCCTTGCGGCCCTTGACCTCCAGGGCACGTGGCCTTTGGGCCACCCGCCCCAGGCTTCCTGGCCTGGATGCTCCTCCACGTGGCTGGCTCCCGGTGCTCAGTTGAACCCAGAGTTCCCTCTCCTACAGGCAGGGCCCTCATGTTCCTATGCATTTCTCTCACTGAATAAAAGCCTAAAACGTATCGTGCTGCCTCGTTCATCTATGCCGGTACTCGGAAGAACCCACGTGGGCTTATTAACATTGGGAGTTTACTAACAAGCACACGGTGATATCACGCACCCCAGATGGGACTTTTGGGGACTTTTAGGAGGCCATATTCCGGCATCACAGCCATTCCCATCACACACCTGAGCCTCACTTCCCATCATGCACCAGGGGCCACACACCTTCCTAGAGGGTCCTGTCTGTGCTCCAGCCCCACGTGGAGACGCCAGGACACTGTCCAGAGGCCCAAACAAAGGGGCCCAGAGCCTGCCAAACCCTGCTCCACTTGCATATTCACCTATGGCTCCACCACCCCCTCCCCCAGGAAAGTGTGAAGCCAACTGTGGTGGGGGCTGGCACTCACCTGTGAGCGTGTACCCTGCCCTTAAATGAACCCACACCTGGGACAAGCCCCCAGCAGGCGCCCATTCACCCTCTCCTGAGTTAAGGCACCTGGTGGGCTGAGGTCAGGAGTCCCCGCGAAGAACTCAATTCCGGCGCCTGGGGAGGGCATTTGGGCAGTGGTTCAGCTGCAGCCTGGATGCCCGCCATCCACAGCAGAGCCTGGTTCCAGTCCTGGCCCCTCCACTTCCTGTCCAGCATTCCTGCTAACGGGCACGCTGGGATGGCCCAAGGAGCTGGGTCCCTGCCACCCGCGCCTGTGGGGACCTGGACCGAGTGAGTGCCTGGCTTGTGGCTTCGGCCCGGCCCAGCCCTGGCTGCTGTGGACACTTGGGGGGAATGCATCAGCAGATGGGAGGCCCGACTCTCTGCCTTTCAAATACAATGAAAATAAAATCCGAAATGCATTTGCAAGAGTCTGGCTTCTTTGAGAAACTCTGGGAATTCTTTCTTCACTCATCCCTTCAGTCAATGTTAACACAGCCCCATCAGGTGCTCAGCACTGGGGAAGAGGCGAGGGAAGGCATGCCCCTAACCCAGGGCTGCTGCCTGCGTCTCTAACTTCAGAACTCAGGAGAGCAAAGGCGGCCCAGGCGCAGCAGGTGGCGAGCCATGCCTCGCCTTTGCCTGCAGACAGGGGCTACGGGCGCAGACCAGCTGGATTCAGCTACAACCGCAACGCTGGCCCCGAGCAGCGCCCACCCGGCCTACCCAGCACGGCCCAGCTGCAGCACCCGAGAGCCCAAACGCGCACGCACCTGGGGAACCCAGGTCGGGCTGCAGGAGACGCGCGCGACTGCGCATGCCCAGGAGCCCCGGCCCCGCCCGCGCTCCGCGATCCCGCCGGGCCACGCCCTTGATGTCGGGGGAGCGCGGGAGGGCGGGGCGCGGCCGGCGGGGCGGGGCGAGCCGCGCGCTTGACTGACGGGCCGCTCGTTCCGGCGGCCGCGGCGGCGGTCACGTGACGCGGCGCGCGGCCTGAGGTAAACAATCGCGGCGCCGCCTCCCGGCCGCCGCGCGCCCCGCGCTGCCCGTGGCCGGAGCGCAGCGCCGCGTCGTCCGGACACTGGCCGGCGGCCCGGGCGGGCCGAGCGCGCGCTGTGGCGCAGCAGCCCGTTTGGCCGGAGGCCCCGCGCGCTATTCGCGGGCGCTGACGCGCGCCGAGGCGGCCCGTTTCTATTCCGGGGGCCGCGGTCAGCGCGCTCGGCCGGGCCGCGCCTATTAAGGGCCGCGCGGCGGCGGCCGGGGCCATGCAGCTCTACAGCAGCGTCTGCACCCACTTCCCCGCCGGCGGACCGGGCCCCACGGCCGCCGCGCCCGCCGCGCCCGCCGCCGCCGCCGCCGCCGCCTTCAAGGTCTCCCTGCAGCCGCCCGCGCCGCCGGCCAGCGCCGCGCCGGAGCCCGAGACCGGGGAGGACCCGCCCGCCGCGCCCCGGGAAGCCGCCGCCGCCGCCGCCGCGATGCCCGCCTTCTCCTCCTGCTTCGAGGTGGCCGCCGCCGCCGGCCCGGCCGCCGGCCCTCCCGGCGCGTCCTGCAAGCCGCCGCGGCCGCCGCACTACACGTCCACGGCGCAGATCACCGTGCGCGCCCTGGGCGCGGACCGCCTGCTGCTGCACGGCCCCGAGCCGGCCCCAGCCCCGGCCCCGGCCCCGGCCCCGGCCGCCCCGCGCGCCCGCTGCCTGCTGCCCGCCGCGCCGCGCCGCGCCGCCCCGGCCTGGCTGCTGGAGCCCGACGGCGCGGACAGGGACTTCCGACGGAGCGAGCACCAGCAGGCCCTGGCCGCCGGGCAGCGGGGGCCCGCGCCGCCCGCCAGCCCCGAGGAGCCCCGCGCAGCCCCCGGGCGCAGCCCCCGCGGCGACCTCGCGGGGCCTGCCGAGCCCGCCCCGGCCGAGGAGGAGCCGGCGGCGGCGGTGGTGGCGGCCGGGCGGGCCGAGCCCCGCGACGAGAAGCTGGCCCTGTACCTGGCCGAGGTGGACAGGCAGGACAAGTACCTGCGGCAGCGCGACCAGTTCCGCTTCCACATCATCCCCGACGGCAACTGCCTGTACCGGGCCGTGAGCAAGGCGGTGTACGGCGACCAGGCCCTGCACCGCGAGCTGCGCGAGCAGACCGTGCACTACATCGCCGACCACCTGGACCACTTCGGGCCGCTCATCGAGGGCGACGTGGGCGAGTTCCTCGTGGCCGCCGCGCAGGACGGCGCCTGGGCCGGCTACCCCGAGCTGCTGGCCATGGGCCGCATGCTGAACCTCAACATCCACCTGACGACGGGGGGCCGCTGGGAGAGCCCCACCGTGTCCACCATGGTCCACTACCTGGGGCCCGAGGACGCCCTGAGGCCCAGCATCTGGCTCAGCTGGCTCAGCAACGGCCACTACGACGCGGTGTTCGACCGCTGCTACCCCAACCCGGAGTACGAGCGCTGGTGCCGGCAGACGCAGGCGCAGCGGCAGCGCGACGAGGAGCTGGCCAGGTCCATGGCCGTGTCCCTGTCCAAGATGTACATCCAGCAGAACGCGTGCTCGTGAGCCCCCCTCCCCCGGGGGCGGGGCGGGGGCGGCGGCGGGAGCGCTGACCGGGGTCGCGCCCTGGGCGGTGTCCCCGTAGACGCCCTGCGGCGCGTGCTGCCTTAAGTCTTGTCTCGCGTCCCTCTTCCCTGGCTTGCTCTCCGAGCCGCCGGCTGCTGGGCACCTGCGCGATTCCGGAGAGCTCTGGGCGCCCCCGCTGCCTCCTCCTGGCCTGCTGATGCCTCGCCGCGTGGATCTGGTCCCTTCCCGGCACTCTATTTTATATATTAAAAAAGAAGAAGAAGAAATAATGTATTTTTGCACAACCTTTTTAGAGACTGGCGGCCCGCCCTCGCGGGATGCGACGGGCGGCTTTCGGAAACTGCTTTCCACGACCTTGCTCTCTGGGACAGGCATCCGTGGCGGGTGGGCCTTCTGTCGTGGACGTGGGAGTCTCGCCGTCCTCTCTGATTCCGCGTGGACGCGGATGCGTGCGTGTATCCGGATGCTCCACCCATTCCGTGTTGACAGAGTTGTTGTTACGGAAATCATTATTTTTCTAGAGATGGTCGATTTTTTTTTTTTTTTAAGAACCCAAGGGAAGGTGTGGGAAGATTCTGTTTGTTTTCCTTCAGAGGCAGTGCCAGGTCTTACTTGAATTAAAGTCTTGATTTCTGCTGTGGGCGGAGTGCCCGTGATGGCTGCTCTCGGGTGTGTGCAGTGGGTGTCTGCCCTCGTTGCTTTATCTCCAACTGTCACTTTGTTACACGAGGATTTCCACTCCAGTCTGTGACCAGATAAACCTCCTGCTTCCTGGCTTCTTGGATTCAGCTAAAGAGATCTGGAAACCAACGTAAACGCCTGGAGCCAGCCCTGGCAGGAATTTGACGGCAGGAAAATACTGTCTTAATATTGTGTTCAAAAGGCAAAATAGGAGTCCCCTGTGTTCTGTCAAGATGTCTGTGAACAGAGCTTGTGTGGTTTGCTGGGTCAAACGATGTTTCCAACCTACACTCTATCTCATTGCCACTTTACCTATTTTTAGTCCTATTTATTAAGTAATGCAGTTTGTACTTTTTTATTTTGTAACATTTTGTGATTTTTTTGTACAATACTGTATTTGAGCAATTCTCAGCTGATGGAATGAATAAAATGGCATAATTTTACTTTTACGACGTCTCTTTGGATGGAGTGTTCTTTAAGATGACGGTGTGTCTAGGAGCCGTTCGCACAGGTACGCGGGTTTTCTCACGTGTGGGCATGGAACCGACTTGAGAGGTTCTGCAGGTTCTCACGTGAGCAGAATGCTGTCAACGCTAGTGATGGCCAAGGATTAGTCCCAGGTGAGATGTAGCTGAAAGGAGGCGCAACCCAAGAGACTGCCCTCGTTACGTTACGTGTTGATTGGAGTTCCTGTCTGCAGTTGGAGCTGTGCCTGTGGGCTGCTGCGAGGGAAGCGCGCGTTCTGTGTGAGCCAGCAGTGTCTAAGTCTCGTACGTTTATGTTCCTCTCACCGCCAGCGTAGATCTTTAATGTATTTTTTTTTTTGCATTTTCTCAAAGAATTATTTCAAAGAGTTAGAGAGGTAGAGACAGAGAGAGGTCTTCCATCTGATTCAACCCCCCCAGATGGCTGCAACGGCCAGAGCTGCTTCCGGGTCTCCCCCCACCCCCGACATGGGTGCAGGGGGCCAGGACCTGGGCCATTTCCACTGCTGTCCCAGGCACAGCAGAGAGCTGGATGGGAAGTGGAGCAGCCGGGACTTGAACTGGCGCCCATATGGGATGCCAGCACAGCAGGTGGTGGTCTTACCTGCTATGGCACAGCACTGACCCTGATGGTGAATGTTTTTAAAGGGGAACCAAAGCTGTGTTTTCATTTAAATAAAAAGGAAATGTAGCCTGCCCCCTAGATAGCATGGGACTCCTAACTGAAGATGTGGTACGGGATCTAGTTGAGAAGTGGGTGCTGTCGCTCACGTTTGTCGCCTCTCGGATCCAGAGTTTTGGCACTCAGTCCCCACTGTGGTGTCCTGGGAGCTGGGGCCTTTGGCACAGTGATTAAGGCCCGAGAGCTGCAGCGTCCCAGACAGAATAGGGCCTTGGCGCTGGGCCAGGGAACTGCTCTAGGCCCTGCTGGCTGCCCTGCCTGCGGTACCGTCTGTAAGGCCTGGGATTCCCCAGCCTCCGGAATTGTAAGAAATCACTTTGTAAACTGCACAAGCCCAGGTGTTTTTATTAGAGCAGCACAAATGGCCCACAGCCCTGCACCTGCGGCCGTGACACCAGGTGCGCCGGGTGCCGCGGGCTAGCACGAGCTCCTTTGGGTTTTTTTGTTTTAACTTTCCAGCAGGTCGCCTCTTAGACGGATGGCCTGACTGCGGACACAGCAGAGCGGGCGTCTCTGCCCTACTGCGTGTTGGTGGAGACACTGTTGGTTAAGAAATTGTCGAAGGTTTAAATGTTAACCAGTTGTGGGTCCCTGGAATTTTAGGCCAAGGAAAGCAGGAACTCCTTTTCATTTGAATTACCGGGCTGCCCCTTTTTGGCACTTGATTTGGAGCTGTAGGGAATCCGGAGATACTGAGTATTTGCACAAGAATGGAGAGTTAAGTCGAAGCATTGTCAGTCCATTACCATCTTAAAGGCGTTCCTGTCCCCTGTTTTGTTTCATTTTTAAGTGAAGATCCTTGACTTGGAATTGAGGTGTGACTTTTAAAAAAATTTTACTTTCTTTTCATCTTATTTGAAAAGCAGAGAGAGAAATCTTCCAGGCACTTGGTGGGGGCTCTGCCAGGCAAGAAGCCAAGGGCCCTCTGAACTCAGGCTGGGTCTCCCACATGGGTGGCAGCGACACCTGCTACCTCGCAAGGTGGACGTTGGCTGGACGCAGAGCCCGGCCGGAACCCTGGCTCTCCCACGCGGGCGCCAGCCCTTCAGCTGCTGTGTCAGCTCAGTGGAGCCTGTTACGTGAGCGGTCGGGCCTCAGAGGTTGGTTTACGTCTTTCCCTATCTTTCTGTAGTTTGGTTTCTTGACACACACACACACACACACACACACACATGCACCCCGCGCTCCTTGCAAGGCTGTAGCAGTAGCAGGCCTTGCTCACTGAGGACCTGCAGAGTGGAGGCGAAGGCTCACTCCCCTCCAGCAAATAGATTCATTCCCTGTGTAGGGAGACTGGGGGCTGTGGGTTCTCTAGTTTCCTGAGTCGACTTCCTTTCCTGGAAGGGATGATAGGGCAGGCTGAAATCTGTAAGTGAACCCAGCTCTGCTGTTCTC